AGCACACAGTAATAGTTTAACATTTTTAGACTCTATTAAAAGGCCTATATTTACTTGACTCATTTAAGATAATATTTGGCTTACAAGATAGAAATACTCACTATACAACAGAATAATGAATATAAAGTATTTTCTGATGAAGACTCATTACTGCCACACTATGAAATGGTAATGTTGATTGCAGACTCCTTACATAGTTGAGAAGCACCAATAGGTCTTTCTCAATTCACAATTTCCTTATTCCACTTGGTATATATTTCAGATTCTTCCTTAAGGCTCACAAGATAACTACTAAAAAGTGTTATTGTTGCTCTCAGATAAGGAATAATACACAGAATTTTTTTAAAATGCTTTATTCATGTTGGAAAAACCAAAAATATTTATATAGTTCAAATTTTGAGAAGAGAGTAACCAGAAATCTCCAAAATCTAACATGACCACAAAATTGTAACAAAATTTTTATGGACGCAACTTCTCAACACTGTGAAATCATATGACAACCTGATATATTTCATACTATCAAAAGCTGTAGGGCAGTGCGATAGCTCAGTTGGTAGAGCTTGTGCTTTGAACAGCAAAAGATGTAAAGTGTGTCCTTTAATTCAGTTCCTATTTCTTGACTTTTTCTTGCTTCTCAAATTGCAAATAACTACAACCAAAATTTCCCCTTTTAACATAGGAAGTAGTCTTCAAAGCAGAACTTGGGACTTTTATTGTGGCTACTTTATAAAAGGGATATGTGCCCTAAAACATGTTAGTCAGAATCAAAGTCTTTTAAAATTAAAGACTCTAACATATAAATATAAACATGGAAATTAGACAAGATACTATTATTGTACAGCACTCAAAAAATGGCATAAATAGAAAACCTGTCCCTCTACTGCAGGGTATCATCATCAGTAATTTCTGTGGCCTAAAATAAGTGCTTATTTAAAACCAGATATTAGGAACACTAAAAAATACATTTAAAACATTTAAAAAGTAAAAAACAAAATACGTTGGGTTACAGCAATTTTAACAAAAATCACTATATATGCTTCAAAAACAAAATCAACAGAAATAATATTAAATAGCCCAGGTATTCTATTTCCTACTATACAAAAAAAGAACTAATATACTCTGACATACACCATTTAAATGTTTTCATCTTGGGCCAGCCGAGTGGGGCATTGCTTAAGAGCTGGCATGGGACCCCAGAGGGCCCTGGTTCGGATCCCACATATGAGGGCCAGTGACACTGCCCTCTACAGCTAAGATGCTGAACAACAGCTCAACCTGGAGCTGGGCTGCTGTGAGTCGCAGGCAACGGTGTAGGCTGCAGCCCCTGCTGCAGTGGGTTGCCATGAGCTACCGTGTGTAGCCAGCAGCCAGTGTGAGCAGCCAGCAGCCACTGTGAGGCCGTCCAGAAACAGGCAACTGATCTGCCTCACCCGGGAAGAGCGCAATGATGGTGCCAACTTGGGCCAGTGAAGCAACGTCCTCCACAACTAGACTGAAGAACAAAACGACAGCAACTTGTCTGTTCCCCATCTCCCAATCCCCCAATAAAAAAAATCTTAAAAAAAAAAATGTTTTCATCTTTTAAAAAACATTCCCAGGCTGGCCAAATGGCTCAGTTGGTTAAGAGCATAAGCTCTGAGCAACAACAGGGTCGCCAATTCGATTCCCCCATGGGCCAGTGAGCTGTGCGTGAGTTGAACTGCTGCTGAGCTGCCAACAGGTGGCAGAATGGCTCAGGTGATGAGAGCACATGCTCCTAACAACAAGGTTGCTGGTTCGACTCCTGCATAGGATGGTGGCAACTAAGACTGAACACAGCACCTTGAGCTGAGCAGCCGCAAGCTGCAGACAGGCGGCCAAATGGCGACTGGACTTGGAGCTGAGCTGGCTGCACCCTCCACAACTAAGATTGAAGGACAACAACTTGGCTGTTTGTTCCCCTTCCCCAATTCCCCAATAAAAATCTTAAAAAAACAACATATTCCCAATCCTGGTTTTCCAATAGGATATGGCATTGAGAATACTTCAAGATTACCTCCTACCACCACCTTTTTTAAAAATACAGGGCTTTGAGTCATAATTGGAGATTTGGGGGAAGAAGAGCTAAGGGAGAAAAATGCAAAAACACTCAAACTATTTTCCCTCCAAAATATTTTTCAGATGTTTAAATGTGGTAAAATAAGACTTGGATAAAAAATTTAACATATACTTAGATTTCATATTATACCGAGTTAAAGCTAGAAGACAGAGGAAAACAATTAGATGGAAAAAGAGAGTAAGACTCCAAGGTATCAAAAGAGAAGGGACTAGTCCCAAAGCATTCATAAAAGAAGGCTCATTATAGCCTCAGCTCATGGACCAAGATATTCAGTGTTATCAGCTTTGGGCATCTGAATGGTCAATTCTGATTAATCACAGTTGTAAGTTCTTTAACTATTATTTAGATACCAGGATTACTTCAAAATGGGATACAAGATTCCCAAGGGGAAATATTAATAACAAAAATAAAGTTTTCAGGGTCGGCCGGGTGGCGCGATGGTTAAGAGCTAGCTTGGGACGCCAGAGGGCCCCGGTTCGGATCCCACATATGAGGGCCAGTTACACTGCCCTCTACAGCTAAGATGCTGAACAGCAGCTCAACCTGGAGCTGGGTTGCCTTGAGTCGCGACCGCGCAGGCTGCAGCCCCTGTGACAGTGGGTTGCCATGCGCAGGCTGCAGCCCCTGTGACAGTGGGTTGCCATGGGCTACCGTATGTAGCCAGCAGCCAGCGTGAGCGGCCAGCAGCCACAATGAGCGGCCATCCAGAAGCCGGTGACTGATCTGCCTCGCCGGGGAAGAGCGCAATGATGGTGCAAACTTGGGCCAGTGAAGCAACGTCCTCCACAACTAGACTGAAGAACAAAA